CTGGCTTGGTGCAGCCATTTGGGGCTGCGTCTAGCCAGAGGTTACGGCCAGGGGGGTTCCCTAAGCTGGGAACTTGATGTTCCTGATAGAACATCGAGGACCTCAACCCTTGATCATGATTTTGATCTAGGGCAGAGGTCAACCCCAAATTTTGGTTGGGGGCAAGGTTGCCTTCAGCTGTTGCCCAGCTATAAAAGTTGGGCTGACCAGCAACAACCTCATTCATTTGAGGTGCTGCCCACACTCTACTCGAGTGCTGGCCAGTTGGTGAGAGGAGTTGTTGGAGCTGTTGAGTGAGGAGGGACTACTGGCTGGAGGAGGAAGTAGTAGTGGAGGTTTGCAGTGGAGGTTGAGAGAGGAGTCCGCCATAGCCACCATCTCAAGGGTGGAGGTGTTGCCGGCCATAGCTGTAGCCATAGCGACGGTCGTTGGGGGGGCACTGTTGCTTTTTGCGGCAACTGCGGCAGCGGTGCAGAAGTGTTGCCGAACTTTCGTGGCGTCGACGGTGCTTTGCTTTTGGCAGCGATGGGGTAGTGCTGCCGAACTTTTGCGACGTCGACGGTGTTTTTTTTGGCAGCGACGTGGAAGTGCTGCCGAACTTTTGCAGCAGCAGCAATGCGTTTTGGGTGGTGGCGCGGAAGTGCTGCCTATTTTTTGCGGCGGCGGCAGTGCATTCTAGGTGGTAGCGCAGAAGCGCTGCCCGATAGGTTGAATGAATGACTTTGGCAACGTTGTCGGCCCGAATACCCTTACAAGGGTATTTGGGCGCATATTTGCAACTCACAGGAGGGACGCTTCTAGCGATATCTGGGGGCGTGTCCCATTTGCATTGATTAGAGGGTGTGTGAGCGTGCACTTCGGGCGCGCGCGTTAGCCTGACCGAGTCTGGGTCGAGGAAGGCAATGAGACGTTGGTAGGACAAGTGAGGGCCACGCTAGAGTCTTTGAGGCGGTCGCAGCCTCCCAAGTACAGGTGATATCTTGAGCAGCATAGAGTTGACTTGGTAGGACTATGATTAAAGGAGAACGCCGCCCAACCGTTGAAAACTGGCAGCTTCGGGGTCATACCGTGCAAAGTTCGTAGGCACCAGCCTGACCTTGCACTACCATTGGTAGGCGCCGGTAGTGAGGCCAAGTAAGGGTGGCGCTAAGAAAGAGCAGCGGGCGGGGTTTTTCGGCAGAGAGGCGGTAAAAAGGCGCCGTGGTAGGCCATGAGAGGCTCGGCCCGCTGCCCTGCCGTAGTTGAGCCAGCGCGTGTGGTAAGCCAGCGGAGCCGCGCCTTCAAAAGAGCCAGGTTCGGCCTCAGGGAGCCAGGGACGCAAGCGGTAGGTAAGAGAAACGGTGTGAGATAATGTGTGCAGGCCTGAACAGGCTGCCCTTACTCTTTATGAGTAGGACTGTGCCTGTTGCAACCAGGCTGGGGCTTAGCCCTATAGGTTACGTCATTGAACTATCACCAGGCGGATCCCGGGATCGAGGCCAGAGCGGAGCGACGGAGGAGCGCAGGAGCAAATCGAGGGGTTGAGGGTCTCGTAAGACTATCCCCCTTAGTTTTGCTGAGGGGAGTCCAGCCGCGGGCCCGTGAGGGTAGGACCCGGTGCAAACGGTCCCCCTCCCCCGTCCGGTTTCCTTTATTTTATTACTTTTTATTTTTTTTCTGAGTTTAAAATTTTATTTTTATTTTTATTTTTATTTTTCTATTTCTATCTTTTTTTTTCTATTTTGGGTGAGGCCCGGTGCCGGTGCCGGGACCTGCAGTGAGCCCAACGGCTTAGTTCTACCACGAACTGTCGGAGGGGAGGGGGGGCTACTGTCGGGGTACGGTCCCTCGGGACATCCGCTAAAATTGGGATGATACAGAGAAGATTAGCACGGCCCCGGCATAAGGCCGACTCGCGTAAATGAAAGAGGCCGAGCGCTCTCCTCGCTGCTAATGGTGAAGTGTCGACCGAGACAGTGAGGCAGAATGGACTAATCGAAGAATGACAGTATAGGAGGGGAGAGTGGAAGGATTGGAGGAACGAGGTGGAGAGTAGGAGAGCGCAGCACAACGGGGAGAAGCGGCAAACACTCTCCGCGAGAAGTCCTGCATAATCCTGCATGACGCGGCCGGGAGGGTCCCTGTGTGGGACCGATGCGCTCGACAGGTGGCGTCGTTGCCGGGGATCTCGGCTGCCTACCGGGGTCCTTAAGAGAACGAACCCGGGTTAAGAGCAGGCTGATGATCCAGGCAAAACTACAAAGGTTATAGGTTGGATTGGCTTATATAAGAGGGTTGTATATGAAGTCATAATAAGACTGAGCGATATATAGTGCGACTAAAAGTTGTATCTTGGGCGTGAATGAGTAATGGTAGACCGGTTAGCTAAACTTAGAAGTAGAGTGGTCAAGAATGATGCAAGGCAAGCCCCCTGAAAATTGACGAACTGCTTACCGATCTATCCCTTGTTACTCCTGTTAGGTTGGTTAGCAAAAAGAGGTGAAGATGCTAGACGCCGATGGGATCGAGAGGGGCCCGGCCGCTACGCCAGAAGATTTTGTCAAGGCACTCGAGAAAAGGGAGTTGGCACGGCTACAAGTGCCAAAAATCGACATCATCCATTTTGAAGGGGAGAGGGTGTCGAAATGGCTGGAGCTCCTGGAACAGGTTACAACCGAGGTGCCTGAGGTAGATAAGTTTAAGTTCCTACCTCGATATATCTGGTGGGAAACCCGGCCCGAAGTAATGAAGGTGGCTGTTGGAGCAGGGGGAGACTGGGCAAAGTTCAAGGCTGAGATGCAAAGGCGATTCAAGTTAAGGGATGACTTGCTGACTAAGACAGATTTGGAAATGCTACAGCGGGATGAATTCTCCACAGTAGGGGCCTTCGCCACAACATTCGAGAAGATGGCAAAGAAAGTCGCAGGGTTGGCGGAAGAGGAACAGTGTGCCACTTTCCTGGGGCACTTTAAGAATTGGGAGGCCTCGTCGTTGACCAAGAAGGCTGCGCCAGGAAAGAAACTGACTTGGGCCGCCATAAAGGAAGGCGCGATGGAAGGAGAGCTGGACCAAGTAGACATTTTTCAGATGAGGCAAGCCAGGAAGAAGAGGAAGGTTTTGGATGTCACCACGAGTGATGGACACGATTTCAAGAAACTGGTAGAGGATGCGGTGGCCCAGCTCGACGCAGAGAAGGAGGCGAAAAGAAAAACTATGGCGGCGCCGCAGACCCAAGAGAAGGCCAAAAAGGCAGTGGTGCAGGAGGAAGAGGAGGAAGAAGAGGAAGAGGAGCCTGAGCCTCAAAAGTTGACAAAGGCTCAGAGGAAGGCAAGGAACTTGGCTTAGGGGGGGCAAGGCTCAGAGAGGGGTCAGGTCCCGCAAACTGTAGCCATGCCACCTCCTGAGCCGCCCAGTCAGGCTGCACCAGCACACTATGGGCCATGGCCAGGTTGTGGACCTTCAAGTCACTGGCATGGGCACTGCTCATATACACCATGGCCGATGAGTGGGCCGCATGGATCAAGTGCCGGACCGCCGATGAGCACGGCTTCCTGCGGCTGCCCGGGCCCCAAAGCTCAGCAAGTAAGCCACCCAAACCCACCGCCAAACCAACCCCAGCAGTCAGCCCCACAAGGATCACAAGGGAATCAAGGTGGTGGACGAGGACAGAACCAAGGATGGGGTCGAGGACGAGAAAATGGTGGCCGAGGAGGAAACGGCAGAGGGAATGGTGGTGGTAACGCTACAGGCGGGGGAAACGGGGACTGGACTGCATCCGGAAGTCAGGGTGGTCAAGAAGGTGGAAGAGGTGCTGGCAGAGGTAGAATAGACTGGAGGAATGTTATTTGTTGGCACTGCGGGCAGAAAGGCCACACTATCAAGTTCTGCCATGTCAGGAGGAATGATGAGGACGAGGGATTAATCAGCACCAACTATGACGGAGATCTGTACGACAAATGGGGGTACCACCTTGACCCAAGGACCCCAGGCGGGATAAGGAAGGAGGCCCTGCGACGAGCCGAGGCCGGCGCGCCACCTGCCCCTCTAGCCATGTTTCGGATGTGGCAGAAGAAAGAGGCCCGCAGTGACATCAGGGTGGAGGAAGTAGGAGAGAATGAGGAAGTGGAGCAGGGAAGGAAAGCTGGCACCATCAAGGAAGAACCAATCATAGTGGAATCAGATAATGAGATAGAAGAAGACTGAACAGGCCGCGACATGCTGAGACTAGGGAAGATTATTGGAAGACGGCCCGACAGACGATGGAAAGAATGGAGGACCTGATAGATAAAGTCGGGAGGTACCAACAGAAGCTGGCCGACATGTGCGAAGAGGTCAAGGAGTGGAAAGGTAAGGAACCATTAGTGTACCTCTACGACCTAGGCCCTGGATCGCAAGGAGGATTTGACAACTTACCAAACGTCACGACATCGGGGCCGGCGCCAAGATCCGGAATGACTTACAGACCACCCTCCAGAACGGGGAGGGTGCCACACGCTGTCAGGACAAGGGCCAAAGGGTCAGTGAGTCCCGAAGAACCAGCCAAGGATGTTCCTGAACCAAGTGGAGAGAAGGAAGTTGTGGATGTTCCAGAGGAAGAGGATGACGAAGACGATGGGCTGAGGAAAGAAGAGGATGAGAAGGCCGAGAATAGGGCCAAGAAGAGAGGTGCCAAGCCTGATACAGACAAGGCACAACAAGTAAAGAAGAAGAAGTACGTTGTCAGAGTAGAAGAAGGGTTCGATGTAGAGGAAATAATGGACAGAATCCTTGAGGGTCATAATCACCTTATGACCCTGAAGGACGTACTAGCCTCAGCGCCAAGGCTCAGGGACGAGCTGAGAGCGCGACTATCCAGGAAGATGGTGGCCAGTGTGCGACTAGGGACTATAATCCCCAAAGAGGCTGAGTGGGCTGAGGCAGGCACGAAAATGGACTGGAAGTCGGTGGCTTGCGGTTGCCTTGATGTGGTGGTGAAAGGGAAGACATGCACAACGATGATAGATAGTGGCGGAGATGAACCTCATAAAAGAGGAACACGCCGTACGGCTGGGAATGGAGGTAGATCGCTTCGACAACGGGGTTCTGATGGGAGCGAACAGTCGGTCGATCTTCATAGGGACCGCATCGTCTGTGATTCTAGAGATTGGAAAGGTGAAAGTAAGAAGTTGTTTCTTTGTGATGCCTGACCTTGACCACCCCATTTTGCTAGGTAGGTCGTTCCTTAGCCGGACGGAGACGGTCATCCTCAACAAACATGATGAAACTATGTTCCTCGTCCTGTGCGACCCCGTGTGTGGGAATTACGAGGTCATTACTTGCAAGAACACGGGACCCAAGAGCGTAAGGAACCGGCCCAACCCCGGTTCGTTCACAATTGAAGAGTCCGAAGAAGAAAGGCTAAGGATTGAGAACAGCAGGCTCGAGGAGGTAAGAGAGTCAGAGGCGCTGACTCTAAGCTTGGCAAACATAGGCGATGCTATGGACATAGTGTCAACCTATGGGATGACGGACCCAGAGGCTGTGGAGGCCTTAAGAGAAAAGGTAGTGGAGCAAATGGGCGCAGGGAAGATGAAACTGGTATATCGAACGCCTGGGAAGACAGGTGGGACAAGTGGAGCACAGCCCCAAAGTGCAACTCGGCCTTTTTTAGGGGTGGGCTCCAGCAAGGTGCACAAAGGCGGTACAAAAGGGTAGACCAGAAGTGCCGCCCTGTTTCCGTACTCGTCACCGAAGAGCAAGATGTTTATTACGAGCGGGAACGAGAGCTGATACGGCAGATGCGAGAGAAAGCAGAGAATGGGCAGTGCCGTATCAGTTCTGAGACAGAAAAGGCGCTAATTGTAGGGGAACCTGACTTCCTTACAGCGCAGGAAGAGAAACTTGTGGTAGAGACCATAAGAGGAAGGCATGCTGCATATGCCTTCAATGATGATGAGAGGGGACGTCTGGATGTGGATATAATCCCTATGATTATGATACATACCGTACCTCACGAGCCGTGGAACTTGCGAGGCGCGTGGTATCCTAATCCAGCGGACGAGGAAAAGGTAGTCAACTATCTCGATGGGAAGATCCGCATTCATGTGGCGGACTACTCGAGTGGACCATATGCATCCCCCTGGTTTTGCTTTGTCAAACCCAATGGGACTTTGAGGTGGGTACAGGATCTGCAACGCCTGAACGTTGTGATAGTGAGAGACGCGGGTAATCTTCCCAACGCTGATGCGCTCTCATAGGCATGCGCTGGGAGAGCCATTATATCACTCATTGACTTATATTCGGGTTATGATCAATTCCCTGTGTACCCATCTGACAGGCCTATGACGGCTATGCATACCCCACGAGGGCTGATCCACATGAACATTGCGCCGCAGGGGTGGACGAATGCGGTCGCCATGGTACAACGGCACATGGTGAGGGCGATGCAGCCCATAAGTCCTCACATCACGCAACCCTACATTGACGATCTCGCCGTGAAAGGGCCCAAAGAGAAGGATGAGCAGGAGGTGATGCCAGGGATTAGGCGCTTCGTCTGGGACCATGTGCAGGACTTGTGCAAAGTCCTAGACTTGTTGAAGGAGCATAACCTCACTGCTAGTGGGTCAAAGTCGAGGCAGTGCATGAGCGGAGCCACTATCTTAGGGTTTGTGTGCGACGAGAGGGTTCGTCGGCCGGATACTAAGGAGACGAACAAGATTCTCAAATGGCCAACATTGTTCCAGACTATCACGGAGGTGAGGAGCTTCCTGGGAACGTGTGGGTTTTGGAAAATCTTCATAAAGGGGTTTGCGGCTAAGACAGAGCAGCTGCGGAAGCTCGTGCGTCAAGGACAAGATTGGGAATGGGGAGACCAGCAAGAGTCTGTGATAAAAGATTTGAAGAAAGAGTTTAAGGAAGGAGGTCTAGTACAAGGGGTACGAGATCATGCGGCGGTTATGACCAGGCCTTTCATCGTAGAGACAGACGCAGGGCCAACTGCTCTAGGAGTACTGATTCAGCGAGGCCCCAACGGCGAAGAACGGCCACTAAGATTCGAGAGTCGGACACTCAATACATCTGAGAGGAACTACTCTCAGTTCAAGCGTGAAACTTTGGCAGTTTTTCACTATGTTTGCAAAGGAGTTTGATTTATGCCTATTTGGGAAAGGGGAAAGGATTGTCTTCTTTTTATTCCTCACCTACCTGCATGTCAAGGAAGTTGTGTTTGTTTTGAAAAATGTTAATTTAGTATGCATCGTAAAATGAATTTGATTGAAAGAAAGAAGATGAGGTCAAACAGACTTGGTCTTTTTCCTGATGGATTTACCCTTTCTGTCCCAAATGACCTCATCTGCATGTATCTGTATCAAATGATTCTTATTCTCTATCTCCTTCTAATTCTTTTCGTTCAAGTTACCTTGAACTTAAGAAAAAAAAAAACAAATGAAATCTACTTGGGATGGATATGTTATCCCTCTAGGAAGAATCTTGGGTGGGGGTTCGTTGCTTTAGGAGTCCGTCGTATTATCGACTCAGAATGGACCGTTATACGGGGGGAGTACTCTGCCGATTCAGTGGAGACGGCCCGACTTCTGAGATCCGAGTCTTATGCTCGGACGAGGAGGAGGAGTACCCCAAACCACTTCCTAGAGGGAGAGGCATGAAACACTTCAAGCAATGCCTCTGATCAGCAATTATCCGCAAAGCAGTCTGTCATCCAAAAATATTAAAAAGTATGGAGACAGGGGTGAGCGCGTCTGGTCTTAAGTCAGCGGTAGGTTGAATGAATGACTTTGGCAACGCGTCTTATCAAGTCAAAACTAAGGCAGATTGACGACCTTGTCGGTTGCATCGTGGTTATTGTCGAAGCTAACTCCTCGTTGGCGGATGTATGATTGTTTTGTGGTGTTCGACCTGAGATGGTCGGATTGTTTTTTTTTTTTTTATCCTGTGTTATTGGATGTAAGAGATGATGATTTGAATTCTTTCAGTTATCTTTTTGGATATATGTTCCTATCGTCTACCGTCGATTCCAATTGATGTAATTATATGTGTGGTTGTTATAATTTTCTTTTGACAGTATATCTAAGGGACTAGGATTGAGTTGTAGGTTTCACGCTCGGTTGAGATCGTTTTAGTCGACCGACGTCCGCTTCGTACTTAGGAGATCAATGCCCTACGGAATGTACGACCTCCGGGTCCACTTGGCGTTAACCAAGCGTATCTATACTACAGCGAACGAGCAAACGCCCTCAGCTGGTATGCCTCTGCAATTGCGTCTAAAAGTCTTCGCACATGGTTCAGTAGCTCGGTAGGGATACGCCGCTAAGGGTGGTGTCAGCCCCTTAGGGAAGGAAAGTTCATGCCCCGCGGGAACCTATCCTGTCGTAGGGGACCGTGGGATGTACAGCGGCGCACCCGGCCAGAGCGGCGAAGGGACGACGCTACCGCGACCATCTCAACGGTTCGCGGGATTATTCTACACCGTTCCCGAGTTATGTCTTGGTTTTATTTTTGTTAAACTCTTGCGTAACATGGGCGGGAGGGCTCTCGACTTTGCGAAAAAGGCGGGGGCCGATGCGCTCGACACCGTGAGGGCAGCTGCCAGATAGGGGACTTACCTGTTTCTTCTCCCTCTCTTCGCGAAAGATTTGTCACAACGCGCCTCGTACTAAGACCACAACTCAGGGATGTCGACGGGCACACGCGCATTCCAACAAGTCGGGCGTCGGACGGATGCGGGGCTAACCTCACGATACCTTTGGAGGATGTTTAGTCAATCCTACAAGCCTCCATCCACGCATAGTGGCGGATCATTCGGGCGCCAAGCATCGAGGGTGAACACAACGATCCACAACCCAGCACCACGACATAGGACAGCCCAGACAGCCGCGTTCGCTACCAGCGACGAGCGAGCTGTCGTGAAATCCCTCTGGGAGAGACGACTAAAGATCCGAACGACATTGCAAATATGTTCGGTCGACCACCAGAAAGCGACTTGCCCGTTCCTTCACTAACTGGGAACCACCCAAAGTGTGTGCAGAGAGTCCCTCGTAACTCAAGTACCAGGTCTCAAAGCCTACGCCCGGAACGTCGCCATGATCGACTGCAAAGGAGTATGTATCCTCTCTTCCCCTTTCCTTCTCTCCTTCTTCTTCTTCTTCTTCTTTTTCTTCTTCTTCTTCTTCTCCTTCTTTTTTTTTTTCTTCGTGCAACCATTCCTTCAGTCGCACGTTCTTCCTTCAAATCCTTCCCGCGCTTTAGCCTTTGCATGTTTGGTCGAGCTCACTCTCGTCGCCGACCAAGTATTCATACGAGCGTCTTTTCCTCCCCGCTATCCCGCTCTTCCTTGCTCTTTCCAACTTCCGCGTTTCACCCCCGTCTTACATTCGATACCATTTCTTCACACACGCATTCTTTGTTCTTGATTCCCTCTCGCGCCTCCCCTTAGTTTCCCACGACTGAGTATACCAGGCCGATTCCGTTGGAGTGACTGAATTCCGTTGGAGTGAATCTGCCCTAGATTCTATGGTAAATTCACTGAAATAATCTATCGGCTATTGCTACGAGAGTAGTGAGGAATAACGAAAATATAAAATAAAATAAAAAACAAGAAATTAAAAAAAATAAGAAATAAGAAATAAACACAAAAAGAAAAACGGAATCTAACTACTAACTTCCCTAACCTGCCAAGTATAGTGTCCCCGTTTTTCAAACGGGGCTAACTGTAGCTACTAACTCTAACTAACTTTGACCTCGAGGTCATCGGTTCAAGTCCCGACAGATCGAGCCCGGGTGAAAAAAAAACACAAAGTAGAGCTCCTCGTAAAAAAGAGCTAGCTCGGGGTCTGATGGATTCAATCCCCAAGTCACCTGATCCTCAATCCGCACCGGAACCCACTGAGCTAACTCCTACTTCGATTAAAAGAGGAGCAACTCATGTATATGTAGAGGAGTGAGGTTCAGTCTGCCTAGTGCTCTGAACCCATTTCTAAGTTTGTGTGTGTGTACACACTTGCTGGTATGCATGTCTGTTTGAGTGTTTGTCGCCTTGAGTTTGTGTGTAACCCGCAAGGGTACTTTAGTTGATCGGAAAGTTTGAAGGGTCGGTACTTACCTGTAGCCATGACACTAAGGGTTGCAGAGGGGAAAACACTCAAGTGGCGGGGAAAAAGGCCCGCGACACTTCAGAGCAACAGAAAATACTAAAGTAGCGAGTAGGTCGGTACCACACCAAGTAGAGGGAGATGTGTCCGGCACTCAAGGCCACGCAAAGGAAGACAACATTTGGCATTTTTAGAGGCCCAGTACCGGTAGATAGGCGGATACTAGGTTAAGTAGCCTGAGTCTAGGCCCTGTACAGATGGTATTAGAGACAATAATGATGTTTCCTTCTGAAAGGGATGGACACACCGACCGTTTTCGGTGACCACGTGGTCAAGAAGTCGCCGCCCAAGACACAACTTCCTTTTTACATACGGGAGGCTGAGCGGTAGCCCCAGCCTTACTCACGACATTCTAGTAAGGACAGATGTACCGACTGTTGTTCCCAATTACGGTCGGCAGTGTGTTTCTCTTGGCTGCCCCGACCGCATGGCTAGGGTTATATTAATTTTCCAGTCGTCCTTTAGATTTTACGGTGGCGCGACCTACCAACTTTCCCATACCAGCTGGTCCAACGCCCCCGGACTCGTTTTAATTCATGTTTGTCTTACCGTCGGATCCTTTAATGGTTTTAGATTGTGGTCACCGCATCCCTCCCGACCTTTCTTGTTTTCTTCCATTTCTCCGGCCTTACCGTCGGATCCTTTAATGGTTTTAGATTGTGGTCACCGCATCCCGCCCGACCTTTCTTGTTTTCTTCCATTTCTCCGGCCCTTGAGGCCGAAGATTTTTAACTTTTACTAACCTTTACCTATTTTCATACACGTCGTATTACTATGTATGGTTACCCAATAACCTTGGCATCAATGGTCGAAAAGTTTGCTTCACGGCACCAAGCCAAAAAAATTCTCACTTTTTACTTCAGAGCATCCTCGACATGGTAACCGGCGTCGATACTATACCAAATGCAAAATCGTGAGCAAATACCCTTGTAAGGGTGTTTGCTCCGACAGCGCATGAGCGCGCATCAGCACGCGATTGGGATCGAGATGAGAACATCCGACGCGCCGGATGTTTGGGGCGCAATCGGGAGCGTGTTAGCGAGCACCTGTGCGCGACCAGGATCGGGAAGCGGATAGCTGGGCGAGGTGCGCACACGCGCAAATCAGGACAGGAGCACGGAAAACCGCGTGCACGGCAGGCGCACGCACAAATCGGGGCACTAAAGTGACCGCGCGCCCACGCGCACACCGTAGTGGGTGCAACTGCGCAACTCGCAGGTGGTCGGGATCGGAACGCGAATAGCAGACGGAAGGGGCCTTTGGAGCACATTCGGGACACCCGACGGAACGGGCCTTCGGGCACAAACGGACACCTGCCAGATTGGAACTTCAGTCCGGACTGGAACTTTGGGCCAGACTGGGACTATCCGGTGGGATTGGAACTTTAAGCCAGACTGGGACTTTTGGGCAGGACCGGGACTTTGGACAAGATCGGGACTTTGACCACAGGAGATTTGGGATCACGGCAGGGCACTTGAGACCAGGCCGAGACATTTGGGATCACGCCAGGGCACTTGAGACCAGGCCGAGAAATTTGGGATCACGCCAGGGCATTTGAGACCAGACCGA